TATTTTTTAAGTAGTCAAACATTTTATAATATAGTTCCCTAGGATCATGCAGGATTGCTCAACTTATAATATCAAAGTTTGTTCATAGGCAAATTACCACATCCTAAGTTTTGTCTTCACTTAAAAGTGCACAAATATGTTACTAACAATTATCAAAAGTTGTGGTAGGATAGTAAGTAATTCTCAATTTTTAGTCAGATATTTCGGCTTTAATCCTTGAAAATGAAGTTACCTTTGGTACGTAGAGGGGCAACCCTAAGGCGGGAGGCGCGGATCTGAATTAATTCGATCTCAAAATAGGTATTGAACACCAAATAGAAAACCAAAAAATATCTTAGGAACATATATATATATATATATATATATATATATATTTTCTCCATAAATAATATTTTTCTAACAATCTTAAAAATATTTTGCCACATCGTGATAAATAAAAATTAAGCGTATCTCTCAAGATTCAACAAACTCTTCTGGTATAAATTATGAGCAAAAATAATAAAGATTAACAAAGACGACCACCGTCGAAGAAAAGTTTTTACTTTTTCACCTTCTTCCAAGATGAAGACAAAGGTATATATAGTCTAAAAAAGTAGACTTTATCTTTTCCATATTACAGGCTATTCCCAAAGAAGTAGACGATCGGAAACGTCCAACCCATAAAGGCTATTCCAAATTACGATACGTTAAATCTTAAGCCATTAATTTTGGTCTATTGACTTTTCAATACTAACGTACAAATTCATACTAATGAGCATTCAATTGTTTGATTTATTTTGTCCCAATTGAATTCAAAAATAAATTAATTTTCTGTTACAAATATATTTAAATAAGAGATTTTTATACAAATAGCCGACCATATTAATTGTTTATTTTTTCTAATTATATACATAAATTATACATTGATTATACACTATTATACATCATGTAACACATAAAATATGTATATATTATACATTCACTCGTAATTTTTAGTTTAAGTGATAGGGTGGGCAGCTATTTGAGTTAATTCTTCTTTAAATAATTACTATAATTAAAACTCATTAATATAGTAGTAAGAAAATGAATTTAGACATAGTTTTGAAATATTTCTTTTTGAGATATCAAAATTATTTTCCTATATATATAAGGACACTTCCATTAATAAATTGACATGGGAATTAATTTTCTATTTTAGAGATCATAGTACTGCAGCCGCACCGTGACATCAATGCTCATCATGCTTAAGTCGAAGCTAGGATCATTAAACCTAATCATTAGCTATCTAACCGGCCACAATATTAAGATTTTTCATCTATTATTATTTTATAATTTTTAAGCTTATCATTTTCTCTTCAAGAAATGAAGATGATCTCACGGGACGGCTAACGGACCCACTTTTGTCAAAAAATATTTGTCAATATTATACCAAATTCCAGTTAGATTTTTAAAAAGTAATTAACCACGAAAAGCATGCTAAGTATACAATATGTAACCTTTTGTTGTTAATCCCAGATATTTATTCCCTTTTTTTTTTCAAATTAAAAAAAAAAGGTGGGGCTTGGAAAACGAGAGGCAACTTATCTAGTTTTTGCATTAATGTATCAAAATTTTAAAATTCTTTTGAAATAAAATTTATATACTTAAAAATAATATAGGAAGACATTAAATATAGTGGTCAATGAAAAATAAACATTTGAATAAATTGTTTTGTACATTTGTACCATTTATGTAATATACTACTGTGGCTCTAGATGCTTGAGTGATGACTGCTACCTAAATCGTGAGTTCTATACCTTAATCACGAACTACAGTTTTTTATTTTTTATTTTTATAGTGTGTTTAGTATGATAGAAGTAATTATTCATTTATTCTTCATGAAAAATATTTTTCGATGTTTTGTTGGTGAGTGAAAAATATTTTTCGAAAAAATATATAATTAAAGACTAATAATAATATTAGCAAATTAAATAGTATTTTAATAAAAAATTTAAGTACTAAAGATTAATAATAGATATCTAAAGCAAATAATAGATAACGAATAACATGAAATTTGTGCAAGTAGTGCCGGTTTATTGTCACAATTCGGCTTTTAAATGGTTTGTAACGAGGAACTGTGGTAGATAAATTAACTTTGTGGTATCAACACAGTGTATATATACATAGTAGTAGGTGCAACAATACCACAATATTGACTTAAAAACTGGGAATATTCTCATTGGATCAAAAGAGGATAACTGCTGAACTGATATTTTACAGAAAACAACAGGACATTACAAGACATAATCTTAAGCAAATATTAAAATATAAAGTCTACAGACTCTAATAAAAGTTGAGCTCGCAATGGAGTGACCATCAAGAGTAGGAGATAAAAACCGTCTCCTTAACTTTGGTCCTAATTTATAAACTACTAGAGCAAAAGTTGCTAAATTAAACAGCCAAAAATACGGGAAAACAACATAACTAGATATTGATGATAGTATTGATAATGACTATAGTCCTAGATGTAAAAGCCAACTAGTGAAATTTACCTCTGCAAAAAAGGCAAAAAATATGCAGCCATTCTGCAGATAATGGTTCGGGTGTAAGAAGGAAAGGTAATCACTAAAAGGCAAAGTGGAGAATTCAAAAGGATCTCCAAAGAGAAACACAGGTTGTTCCATGTAAATCTGCAACCAGTGAGGAAATAGATGAACAAAGATGGAATTGTGATCTCACAGGTCTGACAAAAAATATGCAACCTATGAAAGAAGTTAAAGGGAAGGGGAGCCTTGGAACAACGATAAAGTTGTCTCCGTGTGACCTATGGTTCGAGCCGTAGAAGCGGCCACTAATGCTTGCATTAGGATAGACGGTCTACATCATACCCCTTGGGGTGCGGTCCTTCCCCGGACTCTACATGAGCGCCGTATGCCTTGTATACTGGGCTGCCCCTTATGAAAGAAGTTAAGGAGATTATTGAAAAATTCATCTCCTTCTGCTGAATGATGGATGGTAAAAAAAGGCGGTGTGGAGAGAGAGAGGGGGGTTATGCATGCTGGAAGAAGAAAAAAGAACGTTGTAACGAGATTGCATAGGTGCAACATAATTCTTCAATTCTAGAATTTCTCAAGCCCTATCAAGAAGTCTGGCGTCTCGTCTACAGAAGGTCTAATTCTAAGCCGATGCGTTACCCTGCGGGCTTCTTCATCGTGCCCTGAAGATCAGAATTAATATGAGGCTCCTGCTGATGGACATCCCCAAAATTAATATTATGGGGTAAGATGACATTATTGTTTGTGTCCAAATCATCCCAAACTGGACTTCCTGGACCCCAACCTTCTGGTATTGCATTTAACCAAGCCTCAAAATCAGATAATTGTGATATTGCACCACAACTTTCCGCATTCCCTTGAACTCCATCAATAGCTATAACCTCACTTGATCCCATTTCCTCTTCAAAATTGTCACATGCAAGTGGTGGCTGTTGAGGAAGTTGCAACTGAAGACTTTCTGGTAATGCTACTTTATTTTTACTGAGGAAGAGTTCCGGGAAATTGAGCTTAGCTTTCTCTCCTCTTAACTTATAGGCCTCGCGATCATAAGCCATGGCTGCATCTTCAGCAGTGTCAAAAGTACCAAGCCAAAGACGAGTCCTTTTTCGAGGAAGACGAATCTCAGCTACCCATTTACCCCAATGCCTCTGCCTTACTCCTCTGTAGAGTTTCGTCGTTGAATAAGGATGCTGTAACAGAGGACTAAACAGGGGAACCCCGTTACCCTGTCCTGATTTATTTATCATCATTTTCCCTCTTAGACTTAAATTAAGTGTTTCATTACAATGCTTCAGCTGATGCTGGAATGGTCCCAATTCCATTGAAAAATATTGTGGGTGTTGAGCGGATAATGAGATCATTTGCTGCTGATTTTGATGCATCGGGCGAAACAGAGGCGTGCTGTTTGATCTCAATTGATGTAAACTTTCAATGGGTTGCTGAGTTCCATCTAAAGAAAAAGGAAAAACAACCCTTGACGAACGACAAGTAGAAGAAGAACACGACGACGACAATGAAGATGGAGGAGAAAATGTTATGTATGGGGAAGTACTATAAGGAACAGAGGATGGTAACAGAGTTTGGTGGGATGAAAAAACAGAGGATTGAAAACAGAGTTGATGTTCAGGACTTTTGCTTTTTTTGAAAGGCCTGTTTGACATGGAAGATTCTTCAGAAACTGGCCACCATTGTTGCATCTGAAAGCTAGTGTTGAAATCCTTGCTTTTGTCTCTCTGCCATTTGATTTCTTCTTCCATTGATTTGCTACTATTCTTGGATGCAGCCATTGTCACTTCTAACGGCAGAAAGTCTCATTAGCTTTCTTGAATTTTGAGATGGTTTACTAAACCACACAATGGTCTGAGTTTCAACTGTTGGAATTGAGAATTAAAAACAAAAAGGACACAGAACTGAAAATTTGGTTGGAAGAAACTCAGATGGTCTAAGTTTCAACTGTTGGTATAGCCAAACCTGAAGAAAACAGAGCAAACAAGAAGCTTACCCAACCCAAATCTTTGGAGTGGGATATTTTTGGAGAGAGCGAGTTCCTTACCCCCTTAACTTAAATTCCAAATAAGTTCATCTAAGCCTACCAAACACGGTAAAAATTGAACAATATTTTCCTTCAATACCAAACACACCCTTAGGTCCTTCTCTAATCTCATAGAGTATTACTATATTTTGCTTTTGGACAGGGTAAAAGATATTTATATAATGAATTCATAAAAGTAAATCATTACTAGGATTCTATATTAAGTATTGATTAGTAACTTAAAGAAAAGAGTGATTTTGTAAAAGTCCTTAGTAACTATAATGTGTGTTTACATTTCGTAAAAACTTTTACATTCTTAATGATGAAAATTAAAATTGAACCTATTATTTACAACTCGAACCATATATAAACGTGTGAGGAAAAAAAATCAAAAGACGTAAATATACTCTACTACTGTACTTCAACTTAATGATTGTAAATTCTCAACTCTTATATTCAAATGCTTACATGAAACCCTTAGTAAAAAAAATCACTATCTCTGTTTAATTATATATGAAACCCTTAGCAAAAAAATACAAAGAAAGAAAAAGAACAAAACCAAAAAAACACTCAAATTTTCTCCAGCCTGATGTAGAGTGAAGATAGCCTCATTGTAAGTTCTTTTGCAGTTTCTCTTTCTTAAGAGCAATGAACTTAGCTGCTAATTCATCATAATCAGGGAGCTTAGGATGTACATGACTATTCATAGGTGATCCTTTTCCAGGCTCTTGAAATGGAAATGTATTTGATCGAAGAAAGTTGTTCGAGAGATTATCTTTAGGCCTTTCAGTTGGCATAGTAATTGTCCTCAAATAAGGCTGCTGATTTTCTTTTCTTGATCTTGGATCAGTCATTTCTGCTGATGATGAGAACGTAAAGGAACAACATTCTTGACTTTCCAATACCTCAGCTTGATCAGAATTTTCCAAATGATCCTTTATAGCCACTAATCTTGGCTTTTGCACAGGAAAAATATTCATATTCGTATCGCTGTCTATCTTTAACAGTAAAGGAAAGAGAGGTGCTTTGAATATGAATAGTCTCTGATCTTGGAAATTTAAATCTTTGCTCAGAATAGACTCAAACTCCTCTATGTCATCAAAGTAAATCGTCTCCTCGGCTATTTGATCTGAACTTTCTGAAGTGGATTTTGTAGCTTTTCTCCCTGTCTTTTGCCCCAAAGTAAAGCCATTGGTCTTCCAAGAATCGCTTTTTATTACAGACTCGGGACTAGAAATTGTACATCGGAACGAAACACTAGACCGAGCAGAATTTGGAACTCTTTCCTGCTCATTAATATTCTTCAAACTGCCCACTGAATCTATACAATTGTGCTCAATTGATGATGAATAATCGACATTTGCTTCTGTCGCAATGTTGGAGTTCTTCAATCTCGTTTCTCCATCTTTCTTGTGACCAGTCTGAACATCATCTATAGTTTTATTTGCCTGCAGTTTCATGGCATAAGGAAACAGAAATATGGTGTCTTTGATATAAGAATCAAGATGAGCATGTCTCGTCTTTTATCTACTTCTTTCTCGTTTTCTCTTTTGTTTTTTTTCTTTTCATGAATTTGATTTACTGCATAAAATAATTACCAGCTCTTGTTGTGATTCATTTATGTATTCAAGAAGCAAAGGTCCTTTCTGAAAGCAACTCCTTGCTATTTCATCCACCAATCTGTATTTCACTTCATTTGAGACAGACTTTCTGCACAGGTTCTCTTTTAGCTGTAACCAAAGAATAACTAAAGTTTATAATGTTTTAACCTTAGTTAACTCTTTAGTTTGCAAGAGATTAACCGTTTGTAAAATGTGGACAAATTAACCTGATGATTCACAAGATTCCCAGGAAGTAATTCAAGGGCAGATGTTTCAAATTTCTTCCCATAACGCTGGCCAAAGAGCTTCCTGATCACTAAAAACTCTGGTAAATCGCCAATTCTAGCGGATGCATATATGAGACTTGACACTGCTTCTTTGATGTCGTTGGAACAGTCCCTAAAAACAAAATAGAGATGTCAAAACTAGTTGAGTTTAACTTGTATACAACACCACTGCAAAAGATCGTCCATATGTAGACCTGAAGAATATGATAGGTTACTTGCCACAACAAGTTAGAATACAATATACAAGTTATTTACGGTTCCAATGTTAGAAATCCAAGAATTGAGTCACACTTGAAAGCTATTAATTACTTACTTGTGTCTGCGGATATATGGAAAGTTAAGGAGGATAAATTCACAGAAATTCTCCAATAAGTCATACACTACCAACATATTCTCATCCATAAAAAGCTGCTCTACCTGAAATTGCAAGAAAACAACACAACAGACATCAATTCTGCAAATTTTGTATATATGACAAGAATTCTAATAGGCTAAAGCAAAGGCAGAAAAATCTTCTATCCAAAGTCCAAGCCACAAGTTAAAAATACATAGCACGTACCCTGTCAAAGACAATTTGGTAATGCCCATGTCTAAGTAGCTCCCCTAAGTCATCCCTCAACTGTCTGATAATGCAACTTCTCTTGTTTTTCAGCAGCTTAAGCCGGCACTTAACCCGTTTAATCAAATTCTTACTGCCAAAGAAATATAACAAATGCAGTAAACATTAACTTAACTTTACTCAATTCATTGGCTCTAAGAACAGATGGAAAAAACTGCTGTACTTACCATTTAGTAGCTTTTCTCCACCCAAAAAGTATATCAAACATGACAATAAAGTCTCAAGTTCAAAAAAGAAGTTGATGACCAATTCACACTTCTTTAAAATGCAACAACTGTCTGATATTTCTGGGATTATAGCAGCTAAAAGAAAAAGTAAAAGAAAGAATAAGATTCTTGAAGGGTATCACGAGGATGATGAAATAAATAAAGTTGGTAATTTTTTTATTAATTAAGGAAAAAAGGGAATAATTGAAATTAAGGAACAAGATGAGAAGCAGCTTTTTTAATATAATGTACTTGGAAACTGCTCCACTATGCTCACAACTATTAGACCGTGTCCCATAAAATTCTATCACGTTCATCAATTTCTTTCTCTTTTTAGTTTCTTCCCGCCATTTTATTTCCCATATTCTTCAGTCGATTTTTTTTCTCTCTAATTTCATATTGTATTCCTTCTTTCAGCTTTTTTTTTTATGTCCTGGAGGTCTGTTTCCTTTATCTTTTTGCAATTAATACCAGAATAAATTTTAATATTTGTTCTCAAATACTTCTTGAATTTCGGGAATGAATTTAACCTTCAATTAAGTAGAAGGTTAAATTTTAAATAATTTCTAAGGATATTAGTTATATTTGGTGACAATGTAAAGATATTTTACGACTATTTGTGCATTTTAACATGTGATAGTATATTAGTTATAATTTTTATCAATTTATCAATTAATATTTATCATAGTTATTTATTCTTTTTTTCATCATCATAGTTACTCCATCCGTTTCAAATTACGTGAACTTTTTTGTTTTTCGAGTGTCAATTAATAATCTTTGAAGCTAAATCAAATTAGATTAACTCAATATTTTAAAGTTAAAATTTAGATACTCAAAACTATATGTGCAATTCTTCTCATGTTAGTATGACCAACATTTCAAAATGTTGGTCAAAATTTCTGGTAGTTTTAATATTGAAAAGTGAAAAGGTTCACGTAAACTGGAACAAAATACTTACTTGCAATAATCTTATAAATAATCAAGTTATATAATCATTCTGTGGAATTTAAACTCCAATTTGTAAATATCTAATGCATCCGCATGATCATCGCGTTATCATTTAATTGCTCATGTCCTGTTTAATTGCACATCCTTAAGATGCACGCTCTGGTTTTTAATCTTGAAATACAGTTATTTGGATGGTCTTGTTGGGGTCAAAGGAACATTCACCAGTCAAATCCTATTGGAGAAGAAAGCCAAAAATAAGTACACCTTTCGTCTCAAATTATGTGAATTAATTTGATTATTCTTCGATTAAAATCACAATTTAAATATTTAAAAACTATAAAAAGATGTACAAGTTGCAATTCTTTTTCTATCAATATGATGACAAAACATATTTTAAAATATTAGTTAGTCTGAATCTTTAAAAAAAAGGTATCACACAAATTAATATTAAGGATAAGCTGGGAACGTGATAGAAGAAAGTGGGGCTGTTATCTAGGCATGAAGATGAAAGCTAGGCATAATGATGGTCACCAGTGGCATTAAAAGGTTAGATTCTTTTTACCTTTGTACTTTACAATTGGGGTGTCAATGGTTCCGTTCGGTAAGTTATTTTGTAAAATTTATACTATACTAATTTTTCGGTTATTCTATTATATATAACTAAAATTAGACTTTTTAAAATCGCCAATCATATCGGTTTCTCTTCGGTATCAGTACGGTTCGGTTAATTTTCGGTACTTTTTTAAATATCATGTAAAAGTCACTAGTAGAAGTAGAATGCAACAACATACATATTTTTATAGGACTTAGCAAATCTCTCTAGATATTTTTACATTTTAAAGGGTGATGAATTAAGAAAATATGAAAGATGGCTAGAGTATAGATCCATCAACTATTCTATAACAGCGTAAAAGAAACCAAGCAAATTAATATAAAAAAACATAAATCACACGAGTGAAAAGATATTAACCAAGCTTGGGCTAGGACTCAAGAATAAAATATATAGAAGATTAAATATTCAAAAAGATAAATCTAAATCATCATATTTAATACATTGTAGTTTGTTACTCATAATCACTACAATACCTTGTGTATTGCTAGTGAATATGCTGAAAATAATTTAGTTTCAATAAGAGTAGCATAATAGGTTTGAGAATTAGGATTTTGAGTTTAATTACTTGTTGGCTTGTAATTGTTTTCATAATTGCAAAACCCAAGAAAAAATTTAATTATTTATTATCTTTAAACTTAATATATAAATATATTTTTCACATATAAATTTATTCGGTATTTTTTTGGTTTATTTTCATAAAATAAAAAACTTACCTTAATTATCGGTACAGTTATAAATTTATATAAAAACAAACGTTTTTATTAAAAGAAACCTAAAAATCGGTTTGACACGGTATGATTTGATCGGTTTAGTCGGTTTTTAAATATGTATTGACACACCTACTTTATAAGTACTAAATTATTTCTTTTGCAGATAACTACTCCTATAGGATAGTAATCATAATTATTCCTAAATTATGCTCTAATCCGACATCATTAGCTATGTTTCTCGGGAACTAAATTAAGTACTCCATTACTTTTAGGGGCAATAGAGTGAGAAAACTTTGTCCTTGTACAATATAATAAGAATGTTCAGCTTGCTGATGAAAGTGTGGATTAAATTTTATGAGTGTCGTTCAACCTTGTTTTCATTATACAAAAGTTTTTTTTTTTTTTACGTAAAAGTCATTCAATTTTATGTTCGTTACTTAAAAGTTATTTTTCTTTCTTTTGTTATAAAAAAAATTATTTGATTATGCTCTGGTTATCACAATAATAACTTTGACCAGATTTTACAAATCTTTCACCTGAAAAGTCTATTATGCCCTTGACATTATAAATTCTCCCATTTGTGTAATACATTCTATATTATATGCTATATAATATACTTTTACCCATGTATTTTACTTATAATTAAAATAACTTAATATTATTTTATTTATTATTTTTATAATATATTCGTACATTTAATTTTTTTAAAATATTATTTTTCAAGATATATAAGTAGCATTATTAAATTTGTCAGTAATATTACCGTGAACAAATCTCAAGTCCACATTCTTAATCATGCTTAATAAAATATATTTAATGAAAATTAAAAAATCAAAGCTCATTAATTTATCAATCAAGCCATGCCCATTAATTTAATAAATAAAATACCCACATTTAGCAAAATGACACATCAAATTAATACTTTCAAATAAATAATACTAATAAATAAAGCTTTAAAATACTTAATATTAAACACAAATATCTTCGAAACTTTTTTTAAAATTTTTATTGATTATAAAGAACTATCATTTGTTAAAAAATATATTTTTATTATTTTAAATAAATATTAAAATATAAATATTTCTTTTTTATTTTTATATTTAAAATATGTTCATGTTTGAATATGATTAAACAAATTGAGTGCCATAAAAAAATTAAACGAATGGATATATTATAAAAATAATAAATAAAATAACTTAAAGTTATTTTAATTATAAGTAAAATACTTAGGTAAAAATATATTATATAGTATATAATATATAAAGTATTACATAAATAAGAGGATTTATAATGTCAAGGACATAAAAGACTTTTTAAGTAAAAGTATTATAAAATCTGGCCATTGTGACTTTTGTGATAAATAGAGCAAAGTAAAATAAGTTTTGTGTAATAAAAGAAAGAAAAATGACTTTTGAGTAATGAACACAAAGTTGAATAATTTTTATGTAACAAAAAAAAGTGACTTTTACGTAATGAACACAAAGTTGAATAACTACTCATAAAATTTACTCGAAAAATGTGACATAACCACTTGATTTTATCGTAACATAAGGAGTTCGCACTAGAGAAGCTTTTGACTTCCTCATCAAGTTGAAAGATTTAATAACTGTGAGTTCTGTTCAAATGTTAAGACCCCTACTCGATCATGAAAAGGAAGTTATAGCCGGTTTGGCCGAGTCTTTTTTTTTTGGGGGCCGAAAATAATTTTTTTGTAAAGTTGTGGTGCTTGACCAAATTTTTGAAAGAGAAAAAAAGTGATTTTGAATAGAAACAGAAGAGTTTTTGAGAAGCAGAAATAAGTAGCATATTCCCAAAAGTACTTTTTAAAAAAATTGCTTTTATTAAAAATATACTTAAAGTACTTTTAAGAAAAATATTTTTTAAAATATACAAATTTTAGAAGTTTAACTAAACATGCTATAAATCTAACACCTTTCCACTAGAGGCTGCAAAATTAACCCATTTAACTCGTCCAATTCACCCAAGTTTAAAGAGGTTAGGTTATGACCCTTTTAATTTATTGGCTTGATCCAATGAGTTGAACGAAAGTGACACCGTCAAGTTATTGGGTCAAAACCGGTTAAGTAGTGTAGCATAACGGGTCAAAATCAACCTAAACTAAAAAAAACACAGAATAAAATTTGGGTATTGGAAATTATCTAAATTTGTAAGAACTCAAACACTTTTTGTATAATAAAAAAAGGCAAAACAAAAAGGAGTAGAGTTTAGGTCATGTGTTGACGGGTTGAATTATGACCCTATTTAACCCATCTTAACACAAACCAAGCTTTAGATTGTTTGGTTCATGATATGTTTATTATAACTAGCAACAAAGGGTAAAACTCTTTTACACTCTTTTAAATCCTATTATTATAACCCAAAATTTACTTTGTATATCTATATATTATATTTTGAATTTCTTTGACATAGTTTAAAAGCACAATTCAGTTGTTGAGAAGGTTCAAAATCTTTATGAGATCGCTGGTTCAACTCCCACTGGCCACAGTGTCTTTAAAATTTTAATTTCTTTTTTTTTAATCCCCTGGACAAAAATTTTGTCCCCGTAATATATTTGAGATTAGAAAATATTAATTCTCGACTCCATGAAGATCTGGGGAAGTGGATGAAGAGTCAATAAAGCCATAGATAGTTACGATTAGGGGTGACAAAATGATTAAAAGAAAATAATTAACCACACATATTATCCAATAAAAAATGTGTTGGATAATGAACTATTTAAAAACGGGTCAAATATGAATAAGAACCACATTATCCATTTAGAAAACTGTCACGACCCAAACTAACCTCT